AAAGTGAACTTCCGGCTTTGGCCTGCAGGGGGCGACCTGAGCCCACCGTGGCGCTCCTCTCCTCTCCTCCCTGTTTTCCAGAGATGCTGCAGACTGTGTCCTCCTCCTCCTCCTCCTCCTCATCGCGGCTCAAACTGCTCGTCTCCCTCCTTCTTCTTCTTCTCCTTCTCCTCGCTGTCGAGCTCTCCTCCGGCGGATCACCTGAATCTACCGGTAAGGATTCCCCTCCGTTTCTCACCGGGGACGGCGGCTGCTTTCTCTTTCCTCCTCTTCCTCAATCTCACATCAGCGCTCGTGTTAATTGGATTTATTGACACTGCTGCATCCGCTGGAGAGACTGCGGATGATGCTGTTGTTTGTGGGGTTTGTTATCATGTTGTAGTGATTTGCTAATTGTTTGCAGGAGAGCTGATTCTAATCCAGCTGCTACATACAGAGAAGCTGGAATTTAAAAAAAAAAAAAAAAGAAGAAGAAAAAGAAGCAGGTAACCTCACTGTAGGTGGGCTCACCTCACCTCAGAGTGGTGAGGAGTCACTGTGGATTATGTGCTCTTTCATCTACATCTCATGTGTCCGTGTGTGTGTCCTGCAAGCAGAAAAGCTTGTCCTTCCTCTTTTTGTTCTTTTCTTGTACGGGGATCATGTGTGTGGATGCACTTTGCAGTATATTTAGAAACTAGTGAAGCAGCATGAGCTGGATGAATGGACATTAGTAATAGAGATGTGACAGGTTTCTTCTGGTGTGGATTGAGTCATCACACTTAGCCAAATGGCCTGAATTTGTCACATTATGTAAGATGTGACACCGGTGAGCAGCTTCTGCATCCATGAAGGCCTCAGTTAAATGTAAATTTGAATTATCACCAAGCTTCCACTGATGGATGTTTTCATGTGTTGTGCTCTTGCAGCCAGTGTGCCGCCACTTGTAGGCCTGAGACTCACACACCTTTGCTACTGTTACAGCAACATTATGTGAGCTTTGCTCGGTTACACAAAGAAGTCAAGGCCACTGAAGCATTAAAATATGAGGGAGACTGGTGCCTCCATTTTCATCCATCTTCAATATTTCATGAGCCTCCTAGTTTGAGCACGAAGTGAAGCTCGGTGGGCAAATCAAGGCCTCCATCATGTTCAAATCATGCTCTGGTTCAAATGTGTGATTGTTGGAAAAGGAGGGAGATTTTTGTTTCACTGAGAGGAAAACAAGTTACTCACGCTGGCATTTCGTGCACAGATTTCAGCGAAGGTCTTGCCTCCATATCAGGAGGCAGGTGGCAGGGTGAGCTGCTGAGCGATGGGGGATGGGGAACATGCTCAGGGAAGCATGTTGCTGGGACGAGCATAAATTTCCTCAGTGTCCCCTTGTGCCATTATGGCGTCACCGCAGGAACATTAGGAGCTTTGCAGCAGCTCAGCAGCAGGAGAGAACAATGCATGGAAAAAGAAACATAAATTAGAAAGGAGAGAGAAAACCCAAAGAGATGGAAGTGACAGAGGAATGAGCGCTGACAGCCTGAACTACAGCAGCGTTGTATGTGACATGTAGGTGGAAATGGGAAACTGGGTGGGAAATTAAGTGAAGAGCATCACTGCAGTCGCTCAGAGTACTTGGGCTGCACTTTTTCAGTCAGTAAGATGAGCAGCATCCTGCACTCTGCTGCACACACTGTGCCAGTCAAATCTCAAGAGCATGAGATAGAATGAAGTTCAAGTACGTTAAAAAGCGTAATAAAAGTTTTTATTTTTTTCTCCTTGAGAGGCTGTAAAGCAGAATCTGAAAGCTACTGTTAGATTTCTCTGCTTCATGTATAAGTAGGGCAGGTGTAGTCTGCTATCTTCCAATATCAGATTACCTGAAGCAAGCAAAGTTGCCTCGTTGTCGTCCTTTGTTATCCATTTGTGGTTGTTTTCATTTGACTTTCTGCCCCACATTTACTCATTATATTAGCTAAATTAGTACTTGATGTTATCATTTTCTTGATTGAATCATAAAACTTAATAACAAGTGAACTCTGACCGTCATGTTGCCGCCGTGCTGATGATTAATGATGATGTGCTGTAGCGTCTCTGCAGTGGTCTGCACTGAATTGATTTGGAAATCAATTTAAAAGAAAGCAATCATGGCTGCAGCAGGAACAATCGTGTTACGAGGCTGCTGCAGCTTCTTTCTCGAACGCCATCACTTGTCACACTTATCAGACAACATGCTACATGTAGGAGTCTTTATGGGGAGTGTCACTGGTTGTCAGGTTGTCCAGAGAGAGAGAGTTTGAGGCTTTATGCGATTGAACAGTAACCATCTTTTATATACAGTCTATGTGTGAGGGAGGCGAGGGAGAGGCAGGTGTAAAGGAATCTGATTCATCGGTTTGCTGTAGAGGCGCACCACACTAAATGCTGTCTCAGCATGTACCCTGCAGAGCGGACACTTTTGTCTTTTCCATCTTGGGACCCTCTCTGTGTTTCCTGTTTAGTTTACAAAAGTGTATAAAAGACGAGGAGAAAACCCCAGTATATGTGTTGGTAGTTTTCCCTTCTTGCTCTGAGCAAGCGTCTTAACTCTCATGATCACACAACAGAGCAGTTTTTCTTTTCTTATGAGGGGAAATGAGAGGCTGTTTCCTGCTGTGTAAGTGAATTTATTGGGACGCAAATGGAGAGCAAATGCGTGAGGTGGAGCAGCAGTCGGCCAGTTTTGACGCTAATCGGCTGATGAGTCCAACAAGGGCAAACAGTGAATTTAAGTTCACCCCAAGCTGTTAAAATATGGTTTTTAATTTGCCATCACACCTTGAGTCCTGATTACTTCCTTTTCTGCAAAAAGAACCATTTGGTAAGAGAAACACAACATGTTTGAGGTTATTTTCTTTGTGATTGCAATGAAAAGGTGAGATAATTAATGGAAAATGATAATGAAGAGCAGCAAATTACAGTTTAATTTATGGTAGTTAATAAACTTGACAACCAGCGATGTTAAGTGATAATAAGATGTGCAGGTGCTTTTATGAGTTGTTGCACGAGATCAGAGGATCTGTCAACTGAACGAGGGTCCACTCAGTAAGTAGGTCAATTGCAGACATCCTTTCTTATGCGCTTTTAGCTGAAGAGATGAAGGGAAGTGGCACAGAAGGAGCAGCACCTGGTTGCTTGCAATTTGCCATAGAGGCCTAAAAGAGACCCTCCGTGCTGGATAACACAACAGTCCTTATTAATCTCAACAGACTGCAGTTATATATCTGTGCAAGTTCACCCTTTTGCAGGTTTCTTATCATTTCTGCTGCCTCAGTTTGGGGTGGATAGCTCATTCTGGTTGCAGAGATTCCTGCCACATCAAATAGCCTTTTGAATAGTTACACAACAGCAGATACAGGCAGCAAAGCTCATCGCAGGTAGAGTCCCTAAAATCACCTGTAGTCCTCAGGAGTTCAAAGGTGGCCTGTCATATATGGAATTACAAGTAAACACTGAAAATGGGAACCCATTCAGAGCGAATGCTTGAAGCGAACAGACTCCTCCGCCACCTGTCAGCCTCCACAGCGCAGCGCAGCATGCTGTCATTATGGCACCATCACACAGCTCCTCTGAATGGACGACACAAAGATGTATTTATTCATGTCGGGCGGTGATGTACTGTTGAGTGTGTATGCGCGGGGGTCTGTAATATTTACAGGAGTATGTCAATAGTGGATGCCACAATAAGCGATGGTTGGTGCAGAGAAAATCAGAGTCGCTGCAGAAAATATACATCACAATTACATCTCAGTAAGTAGAAGGCTGGTGGTTAAGCCGGAGCATAACACTTAATAAAACATGTTTCCTTATGAGGAGTTTATGTAGTCTTGATTTAATTCTCATTGTCACATTTGTTCTGTCTGCATGTCATAAGCACAGATTGAGACAGTAGCGTTCATATCATCAAAGATATTTAGTCATTCTTTGGTTTGTGTTCAAGGTGGTAACCTCAATGCAGTAGTTCTGATGGAAATGTTAGTATGTAAGTAGAGTTTCTTCTCAGTCTAAGAGGTTAATGGTCTCTTGTTTGCATTCCTTCCTCCTCTCTTGACAAATTATGTCATTTCTAAAAGCCTGCCTTTTAGTATTCTTCTTGTGTAATGGGTCAGTTTTCAGTCAGAAGAAAAAAAAAAAAAAGTTTTGGCAAATGATGGACCACTAGTGAGGTTTGTCCTACTTTTAGTTCTGGTTTGCAGCCATATGTTTATGTGGTATCTGAAACTGTATGAGATACTGTCTGAGTCACACAGTTATCAGAATGTGTGGTACATTGTTCCCAGTGATCGCATTAGTGAACCACTGAGATTTCATTTACTAATTTTGTCTTTTGAAGAAGTGGGACACGTAATCGTTCTGCTAGAAATTCTGGTGGACTGCAAGGTGACTCGGTGGTTAGCGCCGACGCCTCACAGCTAGAAGATTCCTGGTTCGCATCCCGGCCTGAGATCTTTCTGTGTGGCGTTTGCATGTTTGTCTCTATGTGCAGCCCTGTGATAGACACTCTGGCGACCTGTCCAGAGTGTCCCCTGCCTTCACCCTGACTCGCCTGGGATAGGCTCCAGCCCCCCTGAGACCCTACAGAGGATTTAGTGGTGTACAGATAATGGGTGGATGGATAGAAATTCTGGGTTCCCTGATATTAGTTCATTCAAAGCTCTGAAACAAAAATCACACATAAGTCTCAGATGTTTACACCTGTTGAATACTTTCTGATCAAGTCGTCCTTCATTTTTTGTCTTTGCTATCTCCTGTCTCTTTTTTTTTTTTTACAGGATAAGGAGCCCAGATGTCATGAAGAATGATCTCCCAAATTAAACATGATAATCGCTTTGGATTTCTGCCACGCTGGAAAAACATGTGAAAATAGGCCCCCGCTGTGCCTCTAAGGCTCTTTGATGGGTAGACAGACTTTTTTCGTAATTGATGCCGTGGATGACTGATTTTTAAAGTGCTCTTGAGGGTGTCATAGACTCAGAGCTGCTTCCATAATGTGCGAACGGGGAGAGCCCCTCGGTGAGGGGGAGTTAAGGAATAACAACCGGCAGGGCGGCGTGCTGACTGACAGCGATGCCAATGCCAATGATATTCAGACGGAGGATGGTGGGAGAACTGGGGAAACTGGCTCTCTGTCCGGGATGATGGCGGAAACAGCAGAGCAAGATAAAGTCATCATCTGGGGCACAGACTCTCAGTGTGACGACCCCGAGCTGGCTGAGTTTGAGATGCTGGAATGTCAGGAGCTGGAGGCTTATCTGGTTGAGGACGGGGAAGACTTTGTTGGGCTTGCAGACCGGAAGAAGCTTCAAGAACCGCCCTCATCGTGCAGAAAAGCAACAGCAGAACAGGCAGCAGATAATACGAGCAGGGAAGAGGGGAAGTCAGCTGTGCACGGTGCCAGTGAGCAGGAATCCTCACATGTCTCTGAGAGCAGAGAGGCGTCCAGGACGGAGTTAAGCTCTGAAACAGATGTCTTTGTGTCCTGTCTGTCCACTATTTCAAGCCTAGCCACTGCTATGGACACCGCTGGCAGGACGCAGATGACAGACTCCTGGCACATGGCCTCGGGTCCTCACTCAACCATCTCAGAAGACATGACTCTGGCCTCCCAGATTTGCCCCACCATCTCTGAGGGTGGGAAGGCCTCTGACAGAGCTGACCATCCTTCCCGCTTCTCTAGAAAAAGCACAGTACACCAAAAAGACGTGGACCAGAATTTGAATACAACAGTTCACACGGAGGAGGTTGTTTCACAGGCACAAGGGAACAATGGAGTTTTATGCAAGGATGCGGGTGATGAGCACAGGAAGAACAATAACCAGAGAAACAGAGCAGGGAACGCCATTTCGGTGGATAATTATGATCGTACTGAGCACAAGGGTTCACCCTCCGCAACGAAATCACACGAAGAAAGCAACACTAAAATGGATAAAAGCACACAGGCTGACGAATCCCCTGGTTTGAACTGCGGGCCACCCAATACAGGTACAAAGGGGACTCAGTCATCAAGTGAAGCTAAAGTCATAAAGAAGCAAGGCTCATTTGATAACAGTTTGAAAAAACAAAACTCTTTTGACAAGAGTTTTAAAAAGCAGCCTTCGTTTGAGAACACTTTAAAGAAGCAGCTCTCTTTTGATAACAGCTTAAAAAAGCAGGGCTCCTTTGAGAACACCAACACCTCCAGCTCTTCAAGTCTGGAGAGGAGGAAGCCATGGGGAAGCCCCAGTCGACCAGCAACTCCCACGTCCCCGAAAACTACCTCCTGTTCCCCCAAGAGACGTCCTCCCGGTTCTCCAGCCAAAGTCCAGGGCATCAGGGCGCTGAGCTTGGAGCGCAGTGACTCCCCTCTTAGAGGTTTAACTCAAACCGTCAAGCCACCGGGTAAGACAAATCTGAGCAGCGGCATCCCCAAACCTGTCACGCCTCAACAGAAGGAGGCAGAACCGCGGAGGTCTTCTCCCCCGCAGAAACCCAAAAACGTCCGACCAAAAATCATCACGTATGTTCGGAAGAGTGCTCCTGCAAAACCGCAAGTGAATGAAGCTCCACATGAAGCCTCTACGCACCCTCCAAGATTATCCTCTTACTCCAGCGCGCCAGCCCACAAAGATCCAAAGGTTGCTCCTCATCCGAAATCCACGCCGGTGCTCTGTTCCTCCAACCTGCTGTTTGACAAGTACAGACAGGAAATGCAGAAAGCAGGCTACTACCCTCCAGGCGTCGCTGCGACTGGGATGAAACCTCCGGGCAGCGCCGTCCCTCAGCGGCTGGGCGGGAAGTCGGACAGCTTTCATGAGGAGATGTCGGAGAAATATCTGCAAGAGGTGAGAGGTTTGATGTATTCCCATGAAGTTCGATGACTTTACATGCTTGTGGCTCCAAATGGCAGCAAGTTGGTGAAACATCTGAGTAATGCAAAGGTTTAAGCCCCTTAGTGTACGTAGGAAAAGTGGTCACTTTCATCTATACTGCATATCCCACTTTTCAGACTTTTAAAAATGAAAAGATAGCAAGAGAAATGCAAAAAATATAAGAAGGAAGAGAGCTTCAAATTGAAGATTACATATATGATGCTATTCTGACATCTAAATGTAAAGATATAGGGTCTCTCTGCAGTCTGACAGCATCTAAGATATAACAAAACAGATGTAAAGCATAAAAACAAATGTAGTTGCTAATGAAAGAGTCTAGTTTATCATCATATCAAAACTGTCTAATGTCTTGACTACAAATTGAAACAATAACTGACTGTACTGCTAATGTCCCGAACCAGCATGTTCCCCAGGATGGAGGAAGTGTCTACCGCTCACCCAGAGCACTGAGGCCTCAGCTGGGGTTGGGAGCCGTCACCAGGCAGCCTGCAGCCAAGACAAGAGTTCAGTCGACGGGTCAGAGGTCAACCCCGGGCCCGTGCCAATCTGCTCAGGCAGCCAGAGCGTCCACTGCAGGTCAGGATCTACCAGGTGAGGCGATGATTTGTTGGGCATCACGCCTCCATATTGAAGGCTTATTGAAATTATATTTTGACTATCAGAGAGTTTTCCACTGCATTCGATTTGTAATCAGGATTCATACGAAGGGTTCAGATAGGTTAATGGATGGATGGATGGAAGGAAGACGCCCTGTGTGTCTGTGCTTACTTTGAAAAACACTGTGTTGGATGATTAAGACAAATTTTGGAGGCTATTCCTTCCTCATCCTTTTACATTCTGTGCACATCCCATCCTGTAGTTGTTGAGCTGCAGAGAAGTTATTATTCACCAAGCTTCTACAGCTTGCTGAATGATTTACTTACTTTTTTTTTTGCTGTCATGCTTATGGATGAGGTTTGGCTTTCGGCTCCTAAACTCTTTGAAGTGCAAAGCATTTGATAGCAATGTAACTTTCACATCCTACCAACGTGCGCTGCATGTTTTTTCCTCACCTGCTCACATTATAAGTCATAATCTAGACAGCCTCCACATAGGCCGCTCTCGTATTTATGCACAATTTCATCACTTAATGGAGGCTGTCAGATGTTTTCATCTGTGTGTGTCATTTTTATAGCTTCATGAGATGACTGAAACTGATATGAACTCTCTATTTTCACTCATCAGTGAAGATGCATTAGTGCTGTAATTAGAATCTCCAACGTATTCGCTCCCAAGAAGTCGTAAGAGTAAATAATCGTTTTAGGTTTTTCTTCTTTCAGTGTGACGGAAATAGGCTCTGTCCCTCATCCTGCAGGCATGACAGAATTAAACCATGACTGTGAAATTAAAATGCAGGTTTGTGAAGGACTTCAGTTGTGCTGAAGGGCAACATGTCTGTCACACAGGTTTATTACTGATGGTGTTTAAGGTACACATCATTGTATTTTGTATGATAAGTTGGGTGGTCTATCAGGATTGCTTCAAGAACTGCTCTACCTTAACTGACTAACATGTTCCATGAGTTAGATCTGAACTTGGAAAGACTGTTTTTAATTTAGAACAAAATACAGCACCTCCTTACAGTTATTACACTTCTAGCTGTTCATTTTTGAGATTTGATTTTACACCTCCTGAGCTCTGCTTCTGATTGTTTGCATGTTATTTACTCTTCCTATTTATTGCCTTATCTGCAAGCTTTGGGGTTTCGTATTGCTGTTTTGGTAAAGCATCTTCCCTAAACAGCATTTTTAAAATGTTATTTCTCAGTTTCTAACCCTTTTGTAGTTCTTTCTTTTTTCTCGTTGCTTTTCTACTTTGACCTGATGTCATTGAAAAAGACAGACGCCCTTCAGTGATCTGTCAGTTTTGCTTTTAGCTCTACATTTTTCATAGATGGAGATTCTTCCACTGTCACTGCAGTATTGCTTGTTTTTCTTTTTTACCTCAAGGAGAGCAAAAGAGGTCAGGCCCAGAAACAACCCCTAAGAGTCTGCTGCTGAAATCAGGCCAGTCCGGTCTCCGTCCTCCGGGCTTCTCCGCCCTTCCAGCTGCCCGTCTCGCCGCCTTCGGCTTTGTCCGGAGCTCCAGTGTCTCGTCTGTGTCCAGCAACCAATCCAACGACAGCAGCCACAGCGATCCCAGCCGACCTTCTCAGCGTGAGTTACACGTTTCCTACCAATTAGTTTTGTACTGTTTTTACTAAAGCTTAAAGGTGACCAGCTCAGGAGAGTTAATCACATCAGACAGCAGCGCGTCTGATTAAAAGCAGAGTCCACATTTATGTTTTATCACATCTGCATCATTATTAATTCACCAGTAGGTGTGGCTGCTCCTTCGTTCGTCAGTTACTATAGTAACAGCCGCTTGATTCCTTTCAGTTTCCATTCATTTGTCACGAGCATGCACTGGAAGCTGCTGCAGCACAGAACCTTTGATGAAGAGATCTTAAAGTCTCTCTCCTCGCTCTGCCGCCTCCCCTCAGCCTGCGTGCTGCAGAATTTCATCTGGATCGGATCCCAGCGCTCGGTGCAACACCACCGCTCATGAGCTTTACACGCAGCCTGCATTCAGATGAAGCGGTGACAGTAAAATTCAACCAACAAGATAATTATCTCTGTGTGTAACAGAGATATGAGAAACGCGTCAGAGGGGGAAGTTGTCAGTTCAGACTTTTTTATTTATTTATAACAGAAGGATCATTTACTAAATATAAGCAGTCTCTGTGTGCTGTGTGACTGCAGAGTCATTTGTGCTGACTCAGACTGTCCATCATGTGAAAAATGCTGAGACATGCTGCACAGTTATGGTCCAGCTCTGAAACAGTAGCAAAACAGGGAAGCTCATGCAGAGGATTAACTGAAATGCTTTTTTTCCCCATTTTTACATGGACTCCTTATCTTTAAAAATGTAACAAACCAGTCTTTTCTAACATATTAGAGTGGAACGTGAAATCCAAACTCCAGTGTGACACAAGGGGGAGCCAGGGGAAAGGGAGCCTCCAGACCAGGGGTGCCCAATCCTGGTGCTCGAGAGCCCCTATCCAGCATGTTTTAGATGTTTCCCTCTTCCAACACACCGGATTCAAATGATCAGCTCATCATCAAGCTCTGCAGAAGCCCGATAATGATCCTGATCATTTGAATCAGGTGTGTTGGAAGAGGGAAACATCTAAAACATGCTGGATAGGGGCTCTCGAGGACCAGGATTGGGCACCCCTGCTCCAGACTATGTTGATATGATCAGTCTTTAGTTCCTTGAAGGCCTCCAGCTTCAACCTGCAACACTAAAAACCAACACTCACACAACACAACATACACAAGAATCAAGCATCATTCCTTTTGTAATTTTTATGATGAAATAGAAAGTCACAAAAATCAGATCAATAAGATTTAAACAAATACAATGTCCAGGTAAGGTGACTGTTCGTTATCTAGCGGTATACACTTTGTCATTTCATCTGTTTTATGGTCTCTAAATCTGATGAGACCCACAACATTAGATGCCACAAACAAGTTTCCATCCATCCATGCATTATCTATACACCGCTTAATCCTCACTAGGGTTGTGGGGGGCTGGAGCCTATCCCAGCTGACTTAGGACACCCTGGACAGGTCACCAGTCTATCACAGGGCTACACTTAGAGACAGACAACCAAACACACTCACATTCACACCTAGGGACAATTTAGAATCACCAGTTAACCTCAACATGTTTTTGGACTGTGTGAGAGGAAGTTGGAGAACCCGGAGAGAACCCACGCTGCACGGGGAGAACATGGAGACTCCACACAGAAAGATCCCCAGTGTCCTCACTGGGATGCAAACCAGCAACTGTCTTGCTGCGAGGCAGCGGTGCTAACCACTGAGTCACCTTGCAGCCCACAAACAAATTTAATAATGCAAAAATAAACACTAGACAAAAATAACGTGGGAGAAGGCCCCTGAACCGTGCCACGGTTGCTCTTGGATTCGG